ATTAATACTATTTGAGTGTTGTCTAATTAAAGTACAGAATTAAATTAAATTAAAAAACAGGTAGGAGAGGAAAATAGGTTGCAAAAATAATTCAAAATTAATTATTAATGTTTTTTTACCCTAAGAAAAATATTCCCACATTGAAAGTATAGATGTATGCAATATTTTGGATTTGATGAGTCGTATCTCTCAAGATACTTTGATGATTTGAGGTATGAATACAGCCATAATCATAGCATAGTTGAAATATGTAAAGTTCCATTTAAGGGGAGAAATGCATGTAATATGCTTTAGGACTTTATATTACTTGTACCCTTTTTAAATTTGATTATGCAGCTTTTTACCAAATTATCACAAAGCATTCTAATGATGAAACGACCTAAAGGCTTGTTTCTTGATGAACATTTGGAGCTGCGTCCTGAAAATATCAAAAAGACAAAAGCCAGCAATTCAGTTGATAAAGGATGCATAAACATCAAAACACTAGAGAAACCTTTATTAGATGAGGGTTTTCTATAATGATAGGGACTTGAATGCTTGTCAATCCAGTTTTCGTTTCCATGGAGATTTTTGGTGATAATGCACAGCTGAACAGCACATTTTGTGCAGTTGATTTTTATCTGTTTTTCAGTGTAAAGCTTGGACCTTTCCTTGGTGGTGAATGATCATGGGTCTTGGATTGGTTTGCCTTTATGTGCATCTGTGTGGCTGCACATATTATCCTCCACTCTTTTGAAAAAAACTTAATGCTGTTTGAATGAAATTAAGTTCCATAGTGCTACAAATAATAAAACATATAATTTTTTCCCCTCATAGTCAGCGGAAACATGCAGGAATCTCCTTTATAACTCTGATTCATATGCATTCCTTTCTTGTTCTGTGAAAGGATCTAGCTAAGATTTTTAAAAGGCATTAAAATAACATTAGCCATTAAAATAACATTTATACATGATATATCTGGTGCTGACATAATTATTAGCATGCCTTTTTGACTAATATTTTTTTTAATAATGCCCCCTGACCAAATTCCTATCTCTAATCTGGCAACTGACCTCCAGAGATACATACAAACATTTTTTCTTCATCAGCATGCTTGGAAAAATTAATATACTATATGTAGTTTTAGGAATTTATTTTGTTTTATTGAAAATAAGAACATACATATGATTATGTGGGAGTGGGAAAAAACATGAGACTGACATGAAAGACAGAAATCAATGGGAAAAAAACTACAAGAGCTCAAAAACTGGCTGGAGATACCATCCTAAATAATCATCCGGCAAAGAGTGATGATCCTGCAGCTCCCTTTTAAATGCCAGTCAGTCTGATGAGAAGATTGCGGCCAGGTGTGCAGCAACCAGAGCAAACAGAACAACAGATTTCTTTTCTGAAAACAGGAATTCTCACCCTGAATTCTCTACCTGTTATGCAAGACAATTCTTTTTTAAGGTTTTTTCCGCTTGCATACAGTACAGACTGTTTTTCTTAGATATAGATGTGAATATATAGATTTTGAAGTATTATAAATAAATAGGTGTGTGATCATATGTCAAGATTATAGATTATATCTATATTTTGTAATGGTTCTTCCCATTTGTTGTGACTCTTGAGTTTTCTGTTATCAGTTGTTCTGTTTTGTTCTTTGATTTATTTTCCATTATATTTAAGCATTCTTTAGTTACTCTCTGTTTCCACCTTGTGCTTGTTTCCTTTCCCCTTGGCTTCCTTCTAGTTAGTTCCACACACACCTGCTCCTTATTCAGCTCATTAGTCCGTTCTTTGTTCTGTTCTCCTTGACATACTCTCCCTCTGCAGTCACTCAGTGCTGGTTCCTTGTGGTTACTGAAGTTGTCTTCTCAGCTCCCTGGCTCCTCATGCTCGTTTTCCCCTGATGTCTCTGTGGTTTTTGGTTTGTTTAACATTTTAAGTTGGATTTCTGGATTGCTGCCTCTGTTACCTGTGTTCTTCGATTAAATCTGTCAGAACTCATTCACTTCACTCGTCTCTGCATCTGGGTCCTAAAGCAACCTCACCACCCATTGTTTGTTTGTTTATGTCTGTATGTATGTGTGTCTGTCTGTCTTTTATGAAAGAAAATGGAAATAAACTGGTTAAACATTGTGCTCTTCATTATTTCACAAAACCGTGTCACGTCAACCTGAACCCGACAGACTTCTCGGGGGGGTATTAAAGAGATTAAATTACTAATATGAATGGTGCTCAGTGGAGCAGTGGGTAGCACTGCGGCCTTGCAGCAAGAAGGTTCTGGGTTCAATTCCTGGCCCAGGGTCTTTCTGCATGGAGTTTGCATGTTCTCCCTGAGCATGCCAGTCCAAAAACATGACTGTTAGGTTAATTGGCTTCTCTAGATTGTCCTTAGGTGTGAGTGAATGGTTGTTTGTACTGTGTTGCCCTGCGATGGCGACCTGTCCAGGGTGTACACTGCCTCTCACTCATTGACTGCTGGAGATAGGCACCAGAACCCTTTGCGACCCCACTTGGGACAAGCGTGTCAGACGATGGATGGATTACTAATATGAGAAAAAAGTTCTAGGACAATAAAAATATACATTTTTTTATATTTTTTTATTCTTTATGAGATCAAAGTCAGGAGAATGAAGCCAAAGGGATAAGAATAAAAACTCGTAATATTAGAAAGATACAAATATTACTAATATTAAGTGTACTCTAAGTCCCTCTGATACTGTTTAAGTGTCTGACTCTAACAGCAGATTTGCCACATTCAACATGTCAGACGCTCTGACTCATCCGCAATACAGGCAGATCTCTATGCCACTATATCACGTGATTTGTCCTAGTAAGAATTACATTTCAGATATCTGAAATTTTCATTTTAGATAGGAGGAATACTATTAAAGATATCTGAAATAAAAACAAATACCGGTATATGTTAAAACAGCCACTTAAAATTAGTGAAGATTTGTAGATATCTGAAATGTAGTTTTACTAGTACAAATTTGATTCCAGAGTATTTAAAATGTAATTTCTACTGGTAGAAATGTAATTAGTGATATCTATAATACAATTCTGACTAGAAACATTGTTATTGTGAGTAGGTAAAATGCATTAGTGCTCTCTTTAATAGAAATGTGACTAGTCAGACTGCCTATTTTATGTTAAAACAGAGCTTCATTGTTCTTTGAAAGTATCTAAAAATAAATTTTAGATAGACATTATTATAATTGAGATATCTAGAATTCTAATTTAACTAGTCATAAAATAAGTAGATGATGTAATTATATATGTACTAGCAGAAATATATTTCAGATGTCAAGAATTGTATTTCTAGATATCTGTAATACTATATTCATTTTTGATATCAAAAATAGTAATTATGACTAGCAGTAACTCTATTATGGCAATATGAAATTAGAATTCATCCTAGTCAGAATAAATTTTAGATAGGAAGAATTGTATTTTAGATATCTGGAAGTAAAAGCCCAATACACATGAATGGGAAACATGGCGTCATTTGCAATAGTAAGAATTACATTTGAGTTGTCGGAAATGTTTTTTTTAGATAGGTGGAATTCTATTTTAGATATCTGAAATGTTCCTTTTGATTTCATTTTGATTCAAGGTTTTCTATCTAAGGAAAACTACCTGATTGAATTGACTTATGCAATCCCTCACACCAGACATACATGTAGCAACATAAGAACTTGCAAACAAAGGATAGTGAGGGGACAGAGCATGTTGAGTAACAAAGACATAGCTGAAATCCTCTGGATTCATTTCCAGCCAATACAAATAAACATGTGATGCTTAATCACTGTAGATTGTCATGGTAGACAAAAAAGAAAACAGAGCAGTAGGCATGACTGATGTAGTCAGTACTCATGATTAAGCTTTAACCAGTTTGCTCACATCCTTTTCTTTGTCACTGCTTTCTAAGATTACCTACAAACGAAAATATACCATGATGAAGATATAACAGTTTTAATTTAATTAGTGCTATATACACAGTTAAAAACACCTATTCACGCTCACTTTATAAAAAGTAATAATAATAATAATTTTCTTCTATTTTATGCTGCATGAAATCCAAATTAAAAAAAATGTTTTCGGCCTGTAAATATGATCAAAATAGTTTCTATCTGCTACATGTAAGAATAATCAGAAAGAGAATTTCTACATTCATGAATATAGGTACACTGATCCTCTGTCCATGGGATCTGTCATTAAGAAAGTCTAATTTTGGTTGCCTTTAACCTTTAATTGCACAAAGTTCTGACAAGTAGCAGTTTTGTGATGGTGTAAGAATCCATGTATAAATAAATTATCAACAGTCTATCTTTGCATTTACCTTGTTAAACCAAATCAGCTAAAACCTGTAATTTTCCCAGAATTGTCTATCTCTATCTTGAAGGAACAAACAACAGACCTTTTACAGCTATGAAAAATGCAGATGACATCAATCAATGCAAATAGACTGAGTAGGAGTCTCTTTACTAAAACTGTGAAGAGAAAATAACGTAGGGTTAAAAACTGTGTGATTCAACAAAGTGACAAGCATAACCATACAGCTATTTTAGTTTTATGTAATTCCACAATTGCCACAAACTGTATCATGTTGTTACTTCCCCTTTTTAGGGCTCAATGTTTGACCTTAAAAGGATCGTTAAACTACGCTCCAAACTGCTTATAAACAGAGAGCAGATGAACATTAAATGGTATTCAGAGTCTTTGTTCTTCAGGTAAACATTTCTTTTCTTTCTCAACTCCAACAACAAGACTCACCACATATAAAGATCTGATATAGAACTTCAGAGACCATCATCATGACCTCAACTTTTCTATACCTCCTCTTTTTCTCTGTAATGGATGTCTGTCTGGTAAGTTTTGGATTATTGAATTTAAATTCCTTTTTATTTAAATATAGAAAATCTAAAATATAAGCTTATGAATTGCTTGAAAATTATTTGTCATGTGTAATTTTATGTATCTGTATTGTAGAGTGGACCGGCTGAAATAAAAAGTCAAACAGGTAAGTTAAGAACTGAGCTTAATGAGGTCTGACATGTGTAAATATGTAATATCTGAAGTTTTCCTTATTTTACCCTCAGATGAGATCACGGACGCTGTCCCAATACCCAAACTTGATATAAGTAAGACACTGATTTTAATTCTATTAATTTACTATTAGACTTAAAAATTTGGTCTGCAGGATTTTCAATTTTCAAACTTGAAAATATAAACGACTACTATGGGGTTCTCTCACAAGCCCAGCTGGCACAGAGGGCTCCTGAGGCAGCAACCGGGTCCCCTGCCCAAATAGTTACAGAGGCAAAAACAAGTGGGGGTGGGGTGGACTGTTGGTTGACCTCAAAGAGGTTCTGTTAAACTGTCCAGCACCTCTGAAAAGCAGGTCAGTGCTTTGCTAATGCTATTTGCAGAGAGATTGAAGGAGCTGATGACCTCATTGAGCACGTGGTTAAACTGTGAAAGGAGTGCTTTAAGGGGTCTCGTCATCCCACCAATCAAACATTGCGTGGTAGAAGCAGAGGCGAGTGTTCGGAGTCTTATTACCTAGGCTCAATTCGCTGTAGGGGTCAGAAAGCTCTTTGGTGTAAAGGCTTTTGGGGGTGAATCAGATGTTCTCTGAATATCTCAGGTCTATGGATGATGTACAGCTGTTGTTGCTGACGCGCCTCTTCAACATATGTGCCCATTAATCAGGAGTAGTGTTCCTGGACTCGCAACCTGGGTTGGAGGTCCCCCTTCTGGCCAACCCCACTGTGCTGTTGGGGACCTTATTTGTGAACAGAGACCAGAGATCACACTTCTTAGCTTGCCTGGATGACCAATGCAACTTGGGTTCAGGAGAGAAAAGTCCCTCAGATGGTTTTACTTCGACTGCAGGAGGACCCGTGTGTTTTTTTGTCTCCGTCAGGAAACACTGCCTCTACCAACATGCAAGATACTTGCGGGTTCATTGGAATTTGCCCAACATGTGTTTTTTGGACAGGTTAAAGGCATTCAACCATATTCATAATTGTTCACTTTGAGGAAAACTCACGGAGCATGGGAGCTGTTTATTAGGCCCAATCAGGTCTCCATACAAATGAAGTAGGAGTTGTTAAGTTAGACCTGTTCCAGGTGCATGTCTAAGTCCAGCAGAGGTGACCTTTGTCATCAACAGGGTTTAAGATTAACCTCTGCCAAGCAACCAAATGCACTGGAAGGTTGCATAAGCCCTCCAGCTAGCCTGTTTGTTGGACGGATTTCATACAAATGTTTTATTGAACTCCCCATGAGTAGCCTCCTGTGCATACCTTGACAGATATCATTTTAGTCAGGCAGTCCCTAAGGAGAACACATGAACCGGTGGGGGTGGTATTGTTACAAAACATTGAAGGTGTAAGAAAATTGGAGAGTCGACAAAAAAAAAAAAAAAAAACTAAAGATGAAATGAAGAAGCAAAAGACAAAGAAAAAGAAGAGCCTATTTGAAGAAAATTGGGACAGAGCAGGTCGAGACTGACTGGCTTTACACTGAAACCTATTACTTGATAATGACCTGTAGTATTATACATTTTATATCGTATTGATATGTACAGTGGTTATTCACATTTAAAAAGTTTAAGTATACTTATATTGCCATAATCAGCTTTGATAATCTATGTTTAATAGTATGAAACATAAATTCCCAACATCAAAATTGTGGAAAGTAAAAATATTGGGTGACTGTAAACTCTGAAATAAATACTAAACAGGCTGATGGTCGATGAGCAATCTTGCAATCTACTTTTAGGGTGATCTTGGTTAAAAAAGAATGTTGTATTTGAGTGTATTCAATTGGAAATTCATATTGGACACTTTTACAGATAAGACATCTTTCTTTCACTCTTTATTGGCAAGCTATATTACTTCAAATTTTCAGTGTTGCTAAAATCTATATTAAGTGATGCACCTTAATATGTAAAAAAATAATCTTACAGCCTTTTCTTATTTTTTTACTTATTTTTGTTATCTAAAATCCTTTTTTTATTTGCTGAAATAGAAATGCCTGTGCTGCATGGAGACATTGCTGTAGCAGATACGACGTACAAGAATGCAGAGCCATGTACTGCCACTGAAAAAGGCTGCAAGTGGCCCAAAGAAGGACGTTATGTCTACGTGCCTTATTACATTTCCCCAGACTACAGTAAGCTGTTCTAATTTTAACAATCTAAGTTCACATGAGCTATTCTAAAGAAACCGTTTCAATAGATTTATTGAACACAATTTTAATGTATTTCAATTATGTGTAGCCCAAGAGGAGCAGAACATCATCATTAGAGGCATGCGGAGCTTCAACCAGACAACCTGCATTCGTTTTATCCCCTGGAATCCCAGTGTTCGAAATTACATCTCTTTCTTTACTCAACCTAACTCTGGGTAGGAAAACAAATCAATATTTTATTTTAGCCTATAGATCTATCTGTCTGTCTGTCTGTCTGTCTGTCTGTCTGTCTGTCTGTCTGTCTGCCTGTCTGTCTGTCTGTCTGTCTGTCTATCTGCACAGGCAGACTGGAGGGTCAGTCGAAGGTTTTATGAATGTTGAAAAGTTACTTAGTGTTGCTTTAATGAAGCCAAGTTTTAACCCACTCTGAGAGCAACCAGAACCATCCTTTTAGAAGCGCAAAGGGTCATTAGGACCACCGATTGTAGGATTACCCCAAAAACTGAGAGCTATATCACAGTTAACATCCTCGTCAATGCCAACAAGTGGCAGGTAATCTGACAATATGCCAGTGCAACCGATTTTTCTTTAAATGATAGATTAATAGGGGACAAGCAGCCTAGTGGTTAGGGCATAGTGATTTGGGCATAGATGTTGGAACCCTGAGTTTCTGAGTTTGAGCCCCACTCCCACAGACTGTCTCTCTGAGTCTCTGAGCAAGACCCTTAACCCCACACTGCTCCCCAAGGGGATGAGTTAAATGCAAAGTTACATTTCTCCAATGTGAGATAAAGTTAAATTATTTCATCTCTGTTCATGAGGTGATTATACCTTCATAATTTCATATAACTTATTTTATTCATCTCATTTTTGTATTCACTACCCTACTAGGTCCCCATTTGTTACATTTTAAGAATACAAGTCAGTTTTTAATAACTGTTCAAACACAATAACAATGTATATAATGTATTAGAAGAAAAAAAGGCAATCATGTTAAAAGGTCTTAAAGATGTGAAATATAATTTAATACACTTAGTATATTTTTGCAGGATTAAAGTCTATGTCAGTTTGATCGTTTCTGTTTTATTTTCTTGTGGAACATCTCAGGTGCTGGTCTTACCTAGGCCGTCAGAAAGGAGTACAGCACATCTCCCTTGAGAGAGGAGGATGCGTAAGATATTCGACTGTGCAACATGAGATTCTTCATGCTCTTGGATTCAACCATGAGCAGGTCCGCTCAGACAGAGACAGATACGTCCGAATTCTCTTCAACAACATTAAGCGAAGTTAGCAGCTTAATTTTTAAGTTTATATTCTGAAATTTGCAATTCTCTAATTGTAAATAAGAACAACTTTAACATGTATAAAATTGTCTCCTGATTTATCAACAGAACAGCAATACAATTTCCAAAAGAAGAGGACAAACAACTTGGAAACTCCCTATGACTTTAGCTCTGTCATGCATTACAACAAGTGAGTCTTTCAAATTTGAAATTCATGCAAAACAATGTAATCCTGTTCAAATGCAGAAACTTTCTCTATTGACTTCTATTGATGGCGTTAACTGACCAAAACACCTAAGTATGCCTTCATCCCATCTAGATTTAATTTAATGCATTATATATTGTCATTTAAAAGAATTTGCTCATCTCTTTTCAAGATGTAAATATTTGGTTCCACAACAACTTTGTCTTAGGTTGTTGAGCCTGACAAATCCCATCTGTAACCAATCTCAAAACTTTAACACAGCTGTATTTCATCAATAGTTTATTTGCCCATTCATTTCTGTTAATATAGTGTCAGTTCTCGGCTTTAGAAAGTTTCTTATGTTATACTTAATAATTTTTTTAGTGCCCTACTTTTGTTGACTTATAGGTTTTATTTCAGAAATTTGCTAAATTCTATCACACTTTCAATTTTGTAATTGAAAAATGTGCTCTGTTTTTTTTATTTTATTTTTTTGTAAGATATGCCTTCTCCAAGAATGGGTTGCCAACCATCGAAGCAAAGGGAGATCCTGCCCCCGCGTTTGGAAACGCCCGTCAAATGAGCACCAATGACATTATTCGTGTCAACAAGCTTTACAGATGCAGTAAGTTAAAAACATACTCCACATTTTATCTATTATGTGAATATGTATAGAATTATATAATTTAATAAAGATATCTATCATTAACAGTATTCATTCTATTTTTTTCATCCAGGATCCTCATTTTATCGGTATTAGCACAGACATCTGGATATGCTGCACCAAAAGACATGATGTCAAAGCACTGGGAAATCATACATCTGCAAACTTTCCAAGTCATAAGTAAATATTTAAAGAAATTATTGTGTAGAAAATCTGGAGTAGACAGGTTCCAAAAGAGATATTACCTGAATGGCCTTCTTCTGATTAGGGATATTACATCAGACTGTACTTCAACAGAGATAAATAAGTGAAAGAAAAGAGCTAAACAAATGTAAAGGTTTGATTTTTATTTTTTTGTAAATGCTATATCCAAAATAAATATGAAAAAATGCAATGGCTTCTTATGTTTTAGAAATGAATAATTAAAGTCTGTTTTGCAAGCTAAATGTCCTTTTCCATCTATTTATTATTATCTATTTATTATTATTGTTAAAAGTGGTTTCCTGAACATCTAGACCTTAATAATAATGGCAGTAATGTGACATGGTTTTAGTTCAATCGGGGGGAGATTTTTATTGTTTATCTTTTAGTGAAACTGAAGATGTCAAGATGTAGAAAAAAATATATATTTTCTTCAACCCCAGAGTAATAGAAGGTTTTAAGCAGGGGTCTGCTCACTCCAAAGGACCTCAGCCTCCTCAGGAGGTGGAGGCGACTCTAGCCCTTCTTATACAGGGCGTCAGTGTTATGAGTCCAGTCCAGTTTATTGTTGACCTGAACACCCAGGTATTTAAAAATCTCCACAGTGTGTATGTCCTCTCCTGGATGTTCAAGGGGGATTGAGGTGGGGTTCTTCTCACTGATGGTTCCCCTCTGACACACAACCCAAAATGGCGTCATCTGAGAACCTCTGGAGGTGGCAGCTGTCCGTGTTGTAGGTAAAGTCTGAGGTGTAGAGGGTGAAGCGAAACTGAGACAGAACTGTGCTCTGGGGGGCCCTGGTGCTGCAGACTGCCACCTCTGACTGCCAGCCATGCAGCCGCACATGCTGAGGGCGGTCAAGTAGGTAGTTGATGGTCCAGGCAAGCAGATTTTTGTCCTCCAGCTTCCCCCTTAGCAGCATTGATTGATTGATTGACTTTATTGATCTCTCAATGGAGAATTGTACTTGTTACATCAGAATAATGTGCCAAAGGAAGAAAAAGGTGAATGGGTTTATATATAAATGGATATTTATATATATAGTATTGCACTAGGTGTGAGGTATAGAGAACCGGGTTATTGCACAGCATATCAAATCTCCTCCATCTTCCTCCCATAGTCCCTCTTTGCCACCCTGATCCTCAATTTGAGCTCCTGCTGAACTCTAAGCTGCTCCTCTCTGTCCGCTGAGTTGAAAACCTTCTTCTTCTGTTTCAGGAGGACTTTCAGTTTAGGGGTCACCCAGGGGGGTTTACCCTGGTTGTAAGGAATCCCGGGGAAATAATTATCCTGGTCTTCCCATTTATAAAGATCATTCTGAAAAAACTGCACTACACCTTCAGTCAAGTGGGTGGCAGCAATAAGCCATGGCAATGGAATAGTGGCTATTGTACATGTAAAAAGTTTATAATTAGTTAAAGAATTAATCTAGGTTTTGCGTGGTTCTGTCAGAACTGACAGTAGGTTAAAGTCTAGCCAGTATAATTCAAAGAAAGACAAAATAAAAAAGTCCCAAACGGCATGAGTTATATAATGCATATTTTTTTTGTTTTTATTTGTAATATACAGAATAAATGATCAACAGGAGTGAAAATAGAAGAATTATTTAATGCTATGGCCAAAGAATATTTTTATGTTCTCATCGTATGGCATACAGTAATTGATTAGCTCTTTTGCATGCTTTTTTTATTACACATCAGAAAAGCATTTTTTTTTTCTTTCACTACATTTTCTTTCTTAACAGGAAAATTTTAAAATCCTTTTAAAATTGAGTATTTTATTTTCATAGGCATATTGTAATATAAATGTCTTTTACAAAAACATTCTGTTTAATCACTACTTTTATTTTGATTAAAAAAAAAAAGTATGAATAATGGAGTAGGCTTTAGATAGGTGCATCAGAAGAACTAATCAATATGAAAGCATTAGTTAAGCAAAGAATGAGAATTATTTTTAAGTTGACATCGACCTTAAGGCAAGAATTAATGTATTTTTTTGCATCTCTGTGAAACATAGGAGGGAAAGTTCTGCCATCTCTGATCAATGGGATCTTGTCCACTTCAATGCAGGGAATTCTGTTAAACAAAAACAAAAAATTTATTTGGTACGTTAGTTACTGACAGTATAGTTGTCAACAGGATACTCACAGCATTCATAAAGTCTTTTGATACGAAGGATGTCATTGGCACTCATTTCCTTGGCGTTTCCAAACTTAAGGTTAGGATTGCACTTGGCAACGATGGTTGGTTTTCCATTTTTGGAGGCGGCATCACTTAAAAATGCAGTCAGTTATTACTGATAATTGTACAATCTGTTTACAGTAATTGACCATTTTGCATTCACAAAAGTTTCTTAAGTCATTTGAGCAAATGTTGAATAAATACAACTTCATCAACAGAAAACAAAAATCATTCATCTTCATGCAAAACCATAAATTGTAATAAAACTTACTTCCTGTACTCCATGACGGAGTTAAAGTCATAAGGTGTTCCCAAGTTGTTTGTCTCTATCTTTTCGAAATTATATTTCAAATCTACCAAAAATCCAGAACAGATGAGGATGATATAAATCTGAAAGGATCACTTTCATATAAAAATATGTGTCAATTTACAGCCGTCAGCAAACTAACCAGGTAAAATGTTCTCAAAGAGGATTCGGACGTAGGTGTCTCTGTCGGAGCGAACTTGCTCATGATTGAAACCAAGAGCATGAAGAACCTCATGCTGCACAACACTTTGGTGCAAGCAGCCTCCTTTGTTAAGAGAAATGTACTGTCCTCCATCCTGGCGCCCCACATAGGACCAACAGCTAAAAGGTAAAAAGACAAAACATTTGTTTTTTTGTTGTAAAGGGTAAAGGACACAACAGCAACCAGTCTGCCAAGGAGATAATATGAAGAGTAAATATGGAAAGTTTTTGATGCCAAAGAGACAGTATGTCAATGTATTCTAACTTACTGTGACAAACAGCCAACATTTTCTAAGCTTCAGATCGGGGAGCCTGTTCTTTTATTCCACAACTTCACATGTATACTTGTGACATGTTTAGATTTGCAGATCTTTGTGTGTAGTCAGAAAAAGTTTGTTCAGTCAACTATAGTATATTTCATTATTAACTGACTTGCATACCTACTAAGTAACTAACTAAAGAGTAGTCTAATTACATAATTATATAGCATTTGTCTTTACAAATCATTAGCAGGTCATTAGTTATATAGGATAACTGTTAGGTTTAATGAACATAGACAATTATTCATTAAGTATTTTTATTTCAATCTGATCAGCCAATATTATGGATGCCGTCACTCAGATGTGCAAAATCAGAGGTGTCAAATAATGACGTACAAATACTTCGTTAGTACACTTTTTAGGAATCTATACTTTACTCCATTACTTTTTTTTCTTCCTACTTCTGTCTTCTACTCATTACATTTTCAAACAAGTATCTGTACTTTCTATTCCTTACATTTTTTTAAATAAACTTACTCGTTACACTTGGCTTCGGTTTAATATTTATAAATATTTATCTCACGTCATGTGCGCCATCCAATGCAGATCATTGGGGCCATCCACATCTAGTGAAAACTAGTGTAATTGGGTGAGTCATATAACGTAAACACAAATTGGTTAGCTATTCATCAACTTTGTGCTGACGCCAAAAGAAATCATCAAAAACAAGCAGGTGTTCCACTAACTGCAAACACAAATTTTCTATGCCATGCTACATTGTTGGAAACAGAAAGAGATGTCGAAATGTCTGAAAGGTAGGACACAGGCCAGAGCCTATCGGGAGATGGAGACCAACAAGACCTCCCTCATCCTTGGCCCTATCTCAAAGAATTTTTGAGCTTTTAATTCATATAGTGGCATCTGGCTGTTTTTTTTTTAAAGGTTACTTTATACTTTTATACTTTAAGTAGTTTTTGGAGCACATACTTAACTTTTACTTGAGTAAAGAGGTCAAGTTGATACTTTTTAAAGTTTTTTTTAAACTGCAGTATCTATACTTCTACTTAAGTAAAAAAATTATGTACTTATGACACCACTGGCAATAAAGTTAATTGTGACATGATTAAATAGTTTATGCGTATTCTGTTGTCTTAGCTGTGTGTTCCTACCCATCTTTATTTTCAATGTAGATGAAATCTCGATCACCACACTTCCAGGGGACAAAGCGAATGCAGGTAGATACATTGAAGCTCTGCAGTCCTCTGATGATGATGCTGCGCTCTTTCTGAGCTACAGAGAGGTTAGTTAAAACCTAATCATGTCTAAACAGGTTTCTTATAAGTAAAATGTAAAATCAGAGATCCTTACAGTAACTTTCAGAGATGAAGTAGGGCACGTAAACATAGGATCCTGATTTTGGCCACTTGCACCCTTTAGCAGTGCAAGGGTCTGCATTCCTGCTTAAAGTTTTTGGTTTTGCAATGTCATCATACAGCACAGCTGTTTCTGTAACACAGAAAAAGGCAATACATTTCTTAAAAGGTAGTATGCATGATTCATTTTGATGATCAAATTTTTAATAATTTTATATATAAATTTTTTCGCTGCAACTTGTAAAGTTATAGCTATAAACGTAAAACTTTGCAGAGTTTATGTGTAGTCAGAAAAATGTTTTTCAAACCAAACATTTCTTCATGTTACATAAGCATAAGTTTATACTTGGAGGCAGGTTAATGACCTTACCAAAGTCAGCTTTAGGTCTTGGGGGAGTTTTAGAATCACCCACTGACTCATCTGGATAAAACAGAAAGAATCGATCAGATATAAAGATCTTTCCATCAAATGGCTCTTATACGTTACTCACCAATGTTATATTCGTTGTCAATTGGCACACTCTGCAACACAAACAGGAACAAAGTTTCAACTTAAAAGATGCTCTCATTTATATATTTTTCAATTGCAGGTTTTAATGATAATCTGACGCATTGCTCTTCATTTGTATATAGTAAGGTCTGTGAAGCCAATCTGAATTGGAAAATGTTCAGCTCTGCAGACTGAAACTCACCACAGAAACATCAGCTATTGCCAGGAAGAGCAGGAGGAAAACCACAGCACTCATGGTGATGGCTCTCTTAAAGCAAAACCTTAATAGTGAAAGACAAATACTTAGTAGTATTTGAATTTACCACAACATTTGCTGTGCAAGCAGAAGTCTTAAACTGGACACAGGTCTCCTGCTTTTAAGAAGCTCACTCAAATCCCAGGCAGACCTTTTTTGGTCATTGAGTCTGCAGTTTTGTATTTGATAGGCTTAGCTGAAAAAATGAAATACCAGTTACACAGAACTATTTGGAGGAACTCTACAAAACCAAAATTACATAAGACCAAAATGCATCTGGGCCAGTTGTTCAAGTTTAAAATTTGTGTCTTCATCTGAGCTAAGAAAATACATGTATTTGCATTTGTTTCACTTAATTTTTAAACATTTCTTTAGCAGTAGTCACAAAGTTTCCACAGACAGTGTTAACACACTCCACACACCACACACATCTAATTGTATCAAATCATCCTACCCCACTAAGAAGTGGAAGTCCTATGATTTAGTGATGAATTTCCCTCTGTCGCCCTTTTATTAATATGAGCTTTGACCTCTGTCAGAAAGGTCTAAAATGTGTCTATCCTTAACTCACTGAATAATGCTAATGCAAATCTTTAAAAAAATGTTTTATGACTTTTCTGAGACTGTTGATTTTTACATTTTCTCAGTTAAACTGCTTGTCTGACATCATCATCAGACATGCTCAGAGCAGTCCGCAAAATATGATTAAACCAAGTTTATCTGCATGTTAGTTGTTTCTTTCTTTAGGACACGCACTACATACAATAATGTTAACGCAAAAGCAAAACATAAAACCCAAAAAGACTAGATTTATGTTTATATCCAAAGCCGAAAAAGTTAGCTCCCGGAAGAAGCCTATGATCCCATTTTCTGTACGAGTGATTACACAGAAAGGATTTTAAGGCATTTATCTTCTCAGGGAATACATTATCAACCTTTATCACATTATAATTTACTGAGCTTACTATTTTTGGGGAGAGAAAAATGTAATTTAGATCTTTTTTACAAAATAAAATCGAGGGCGACCCAGATGTATATCTGGTTGTGCATGCGCAAATGGACTAATGGTACGGATCATGCTTCTGGGACAGATCAGGGAGTGCCAGCAAAAGCCTGCTCATAAGGCTAAAGATGTGCAGGGTTTTTTTTATAAAACAAAATTTTGACATAATTATTTGTCAGAAGTCATTGATTTTTGCCTATTGAACCTGAAGTTGTTTGGAACCCTCTGGGAAACATTTGATGGTGTCGGTAAAGAAACCTCTGGAGTTCAAGCCCTAGAAGCTTCTTAAGTTTGGATCAGACATTTTTGTGTCATTGATTCAGAATGTTGAAGATCTCAGGCAACTGCATTAAGGAAAACACCTGTTGTGATTACATGACAATTAGCTGTATTCTGTCTTTGCAAATTTATTAAAAATCTACATGGATGTCACCATATTTGTCTACCTACCATTTATGGAGTGCACAACTGCTCATCTGTATTTAATTGTATTAGTTGTAGTCACTTATTTTCAGATGATTAGTTTTGACACTATAGTTCATGGAGCTGTATGTTATGGTTCATGATGTTTGAATACATAAATCAAAGGATATGCATCAATGATTCAGTTTTTATTTGTTGGAACTGACACTTTCAAATTCCTTCCTGAAAAACATAAAAAGCTTGAAAACTTTCTTTTTTTGACCTGAATTTATTACAACTCAAACTGATCCAAGCTGAGCATAACATACACATAGGTTTTTAAAATCTTCTGGTAAAAAGCAAAGTCATGCAAAGTGTATACTTATAAAACTGTTAGAAATGTAAGGGTTTCATTGTCTTTACCAATTGTGCTAAATTATCTAAAACATCATTTGACCACATGTTGTTCAAGATAAACTTTGTTTCTCAAACATAAAATCCATTCCCGACTGTGATACTATTTTTCCTATTGTTTATGGTTTTCGGTCATATGTTTTTCCATCTCCTTTGTAAACATACATACAAAAAATTCACTTAAAGGTCTACAAAGAACAAACTTAAGGTGTTATCTAAATAATAATCACTTGATTATGTGAACAGGATTAAGGAAAACTAGGCAGGGTTTTTACGATCTTCAGCTATGATACCATAAGTTGGAATGTCCTATTTTGACATTTTAAAGTTGATATGTTATTCAATAACTGACTAAAGGAATACAGAAATTTTTAAAAGCAAATTTATTATATTGTTACACAAAAAAATGCAAGCAGTTTCCTTAACCTATATATTTTTTTTCATTTCATACCAAATAATCAGCCTTCTCTAGTATAATTGTATATTCCTAAATCCAAAAGCAAAAGAAAAACAACAGCAAAATAACTGAGGTTATTACAGAAGCTTGCTATTTCTGTCTATATATTATAAACTACATGCAATCCTGATCAAACAAAAGGTTTTCAAAAAACAGACAAAATGTGATTTTGGTCATTTTAACTTATTACTTTAAAGAAAATTCCAATATAATTTCAGATGGATATTTTTCAGGGGCTCTAGAACATATTTTTGTGTTAGCTCAGATTTGGTGTTTAGTGTGACGCTTATGGTCAGTTGTAGTATCTAGAGCCAGCCCTCTTTAAACCATGGAGTTCTAATTGAGTTAAAAACAACAACAAACATACAAACATAAAATCTAACTTTCTATGTATGTTTTAAATTTTGGGCGTATACATAGAGTATTCATAACGAGTCCAGATATTATGTCAAACAACAGCATAACGCACGGCAGCGTAATGCGCATGATATGTCACAAGCCAGTGTCCTAAAGGGGGACAGCAATGCGGCCGGAGGCGCCTGGCCTGCATAAAAAGCACAAAAAGATTTCTCCAAACTCCGCAGTTGTGGTAGCCGCTGTTTACAGCCCACCAAAAGAAAAAGAAAGAAGGTTTGCAGCCGCAGCAGATTCAGCGTCTTCTTGGTCATAGCCGTGGGTGTGAATGCAGGGAGGATCCATCAAATTCACTTTCATGCTCACCCTACAGTATGATGGGGAGGATAAAGGATGGATAAGGTAGACATCAGGACTTATAAGTAACTTACAGTTAACGTGTATCAATGATCACATAACTTGCTAACTTATGGCCCATGTAGGAGCAGATACTAGCATGCTCAAAATTTCTTGATGTACTTGCCGTATGTCGACATCTGCTTTAGCTTTAGCATGCTCATGACTTATACAAAACATACCCATAACTTTTCCAACGTATGCCAACATTTTTGCCTAATGTTTCATACATCGGCATACGCTGGCTAAATCGTCAAGGTGTAAATCTAATATAGATACATGTTGTATTAAATTTTTTGTTTCTACTTACACTTGCACTTATAAAGCTTGTTGACACGTGCAATGTCATTAAAGCTCATTTTTTTGGCGTGTCCAAACTTCATCTTTGGGTTACATTTGGCAACAATGGTTGGTTTGCCATTTTTGGAGAAGGCATCGCTTTAAAGAAACAAATTCAGTCAAGATAATTAAATGGTTGCCATATACTTTATGACTGCATGAGTTTTTATAGACTTACTTTGAGTATTCCATGACAGAGTTGAAGTCATATGGAGTCCCCAAGTTGTTAGTTTCCTCCTTATCGAAGTTGTGCTCCTCTTCTGCCCACGGATTCAGAATATGGACAATATAAAGCAGTATGGAGTTATTTTTGTGATTTTGTTAAACTCTCAGCTGTCAATGCTGTTCAGACTGGCCAATATGTACAGGATTTTACTCGAGAGAAATTGAAAATTGAGAGCAAATACTTAGGTTTTAAGAGAGAGAAGAAAAAGGTTTTGAGAGAGAAATCTATTTTTGAGAGAAAATGTTTTCACTCTAAATGCAAAAAGATACTTTGTAAAGTCAATATATATGCTTTTCCCTTGGAAATCATTTTCCAAATGTCAATTCGTGCTATTCTATGACATAATATTTTCTCTCAAAACTTTTTTTAGTCTCAAATAACATCTGTTGCTATTAGTGTGAAATTTTTGTCGTCTATAATATATTTATACTGCTTTCAAAATTATTTACAAAATTATTTATCACTTTTTTTCTTGATTTTATTGAAAACACTAAAATAACTACATAAATTAGCAGCTGTATATTACTCATATGGTAAAATGCTTTATCACAGTTTATAAATCTGGAAGTTAACATTGAAGAAATATGGTGTCAAATACTTGTGCTGGTTCGCAGCCAAAAAAAGGTGGTTTTAAGGATACTGTAGTATGAAGAGTGGAGCAAAAATTCAGCAGCATAAACAGAAGACAAAACATTGACACCTTTTCCCCTCAGTTAACAGTAACGATAAGAGGCCTGGTTTACATTTGAATAACAACCTTTAAACATGTATTACTATTTTCAAAATGATTTTGTTAGATCAGAGGAATATGTGTTAAGGGTGAATCTAACTTGCTCCAACTTTAGATAATCCTCTGGAGTTGTTGCATGAATATAGTAAAGACTTTGAAGTAACTATAGAATTAAACAAAAAAAAAAAACATACTGTACTAAAGGACATACTGTCAAGCACAGAAATGGAACATGGAATGGACAGTAGCGTCGCGTGCTGGAGTTTGCGCTGCAACCGGTGGGTTGACGGTTCATGCCCCGGTTCTGGCTTTCAGTGTCGTGTCCTTAGGCAAGACACTTCAACGACATTGCCTACTTATGGTGGTCAGAGGGCCCGGTGACGCCAGTGAACGGCATCCTCGTCTCTGTTAGTGAGATGCAGGAAAGCTGTCGCTACAATGTAGTCTGCCACCATCAATGTGTGAGTGTGTGCGTGAATGAGTGAATGTAGTGTAAAGCACTTTGGTTAAGTCTCCTGACTTGAAAAAGCATTGACCATTCTTTTGACAAAAAACTTACCTTCGTCAATGTTCTCGAAGTGAATCCGAACGTATTTGTCTCTGTCAGAACGAACCTGTTCATGGTGGAAACCCAGAGCATGAAGCACCTCATGTTGTATTGTGGCAAGATCCAAGCAACTATCACTTTCTAGGGAGATATTCTGTCCTCCATCCTGACGCCCAACGTAGGACCAGCATCTAAAAGGTACACATAGTCAGGCTGAAACCAGGCAAAAGTTGAATCATTCTCATCCTGATGCCTGGTATAAATATGTCTTTTATTTAAACTTAATAGTTAATAAGATTTTCAGATTTTGTTGACTCTATCCTCTGAAAATATTATAGGGAAAGAATGTCATGACCTGTTGATCTGGATTTTCTGGTTCTGTTCAAGTTTTCACTTTGGGTTTTCAGTTAAACTTTGATTTATGTCATTCTGTGTTTTTTTGTTTGTTTGTGTCCAGTTTTGCCAAAAAAGGCTCATGGAATAGGTGTCCCAGAGCTAGATGATAGCCTAACAGCTTTGCTTTCGCAAGCAGGCCATTATGACAGGTGACATAATGGTGAGCTTGATACTTGTTGATGAAACTTTATTGAAAGTTATTTATGGTGTAAAATCGAATACATTCTGTGCTTTTTGAGTCAGTAGATTCATTCCTGAAGCCCTGTGTTCCCTTTGTTCTATTTGCCGTGTTACCTGGTTAATTATTTCTGGATTTATACTTCTGTTACCAGTCTTATTATTAAATGTGCAAGAAATCACCTCAGCCTCTGTCTCAGAATTTGGGTCCTCTACATTTATGCTCTTTAAGTGAAAGTCAACACATTTAAAAAAAAAAAAATTAAGAATCATATATGATAACTTAAATGGTTTCTGCACAACTCAAGAGGAAACAGTAAAAACTTCTTTGATTGACACCACTGTCTACATAATATCTGTCTGATCTTGACTTTTTAGTTACTTTAAATTTTATAAATTTTTCAATTTTATGTATTATATCACTGATATAGCAATAATAAAAAGATTAACTCAAACATTTTAAAGGTATTTTTGTTTCAAGCAGGGAAGCCAAATTGGCAAACACTTATTCTAAACTTCTAAGTTATTTGACAAAGCTTGATATGATTTTACATGATTTATGTTGAGATTCTTTCTTAACAGTTGTGTGTGTGTGTGTGTGTGTGTGTGTGTGTGTGTGTGTGTGTGTGTGTGTGTGTGTGTGTGTGTGTGTGTGTGTGTGTGTGTGTGTGCTCATACCCCTCCTCTGAAAAAAAATGGATGTAATCCTGATCATCTGGTCTTCTTGGGACAAAGCGAATGCAAGTTCTCCTATGGAAGCTCTTTAGACCTTTAAGGATCGTCCTACGCTCACGCTGAGCTGCAGATAAGTTGAATTCATTGAAACATTACCATTTCAGTTGAACCAATTAAATATAAATGCAACATTCTTCATGTTCTTTATTGGTTTTAATTAGTTCCACTTACTATAGTTAGAAGATATCTCATAAGGCACATTCACTAAGAACCCAGATTTGGGCCACTTGCAGCCTATGGCAGTACATGGGTCCGCATTTCTGAACAAAGTATCAGGTATGGCAATGTCATCCAGCAGCCTGGGTTTTTCTGCAGCAAATCAAAAAGAAACCAAGAATCAAAATTCATAAAGTAAATTTTCTGCATTAATTTTTCATCTTCTTCTTCTATCAAAAATCCGATAACTACAAATGATATGTTTGCCCTGTTGCTTTAGACCATGTAGATGTGTCCAGAAAATCTATACAGGAAGGTCTAGGAGTAACTATAATCAGGGGTCCATTTTACGAAGCAGGTGCATTTACACTCAGAGCGTAGCAGGTGCATAACAAGTATGAAAAGTCATAAGCAGTTGAGAACCCATTCGAAGACTCACCATGATAACAGCCAACAGGAGGTGCCTATTTAACCCCACTAGAGCAAACGTTCTCTCACTAATCAGACACAGTAATGCTACTCGAAGTTTAATTCAGATCATACACTCTCTTAAATTTAGCACCACCTTCCAATAATAGAGGCCAAATTCATCTACATTTATAGAGTTTAAGTCATGATCCAAATTTTACTGCCTCAACATAACTGCTCCTAAGGAGTGAATTCCACAAATAGTGACTTGGTGCAATCTGTCGGGTATTCTTAGACTTTACCTTATTCTGGTTTAGCAGTATGGCCTCAGTCTTTTAGGGGCGAGCTATTATTCTGGGGGATACACTCAAGAGTAACAGCACACACTAATTGCGTAATTATGAAGGACTTTTCCAAAAACCAAGAACTCGCAACTTCAATTTGACAGCTAGATTATCTCTACTTTGCACTCAAAACTGGTAATGCAGACATTAAAAACTTCTGCTTTCTCTCTAATATTTTCTCTTATCCATCAAATCCTTGTTTCTGCTCTGAGATCTAATGTTTCTTGCACATTCTTGCTCATGCGCAATGAGGGGAAATGACTGGAGTCAGATCGTCAACTAGTAACCTTTCCAGCCAATAGAATGACAGCCTCAGAAAGGGTGTGCTTGTTTTCTTCTATTGATTTTGCCTGTTGTGCCTATTGAGGATAACAATTATTTTCAATTGAACGTCTAATAAAATAAGAAGCTGACACACTAACTAGTAAGACTGAAGAGTAAAAACCAAAAATGGGGAGTGATTCTAAAATCACCTATGGAAAGTCACCTAATTTTCTGTTGGAGGCACTTTTATCAAGGCTAAAATGGTTCATGAATCTGTTCTGTTTGGTATAAGAGGTAACATGCTTGATTTGGCATATCAAAGACAGTATCACACAATTGTGTTAGAAGAAAACATTTGAGAAACAATTTTATTATCAGTAAGCAGTAACAGGCAAACTAGGTAGAGAAAAAAAAGCACTGTTGTTCTATTGACTGAATATGCTGCTATATTCAGAGAAATAAATGAGATGTTAAAATATCTGTGCAAAAACTATCAGATGTGAGAGCAGAAACAAAGGTTTTTCAAAGAAGAGAATAGATTTGAGAGAAAGTAGAAGTTTTGAAAGTCAGCATTACAAGGTTTGAGTGCAAGTAGAGGAAATCCTGCTCTCAAATTGAAAATGTGGCTCTTGGTTTTTGTCAGGAATAATCCTCCATATGTAATCAGTTATTTACTTAATAGAAAGAGGATCCAATGAGGCCAAGTAACTTGAACAGATGTTTAGTCCCTTCGCACAGATGACAGTCATAATCTTACCTTTTATCAGGTTGAAACCACAAGCAGACAATTATCTCACTTATTAAGGTAACTTGCACAACAAGGTGCTCAACAGGCCGGCTTGGATGTAGCCCACAATCCCCCTCCAGTCAGTCATCAGCAGCAACTAAGGTCTTTTGATTGCATTTATCTAACCTATTCTAGAGACCAAATTAGGAAGCCCCAGACAACATACATCCTAGGATCCTCAAACCAATTAAAAATGTTTCAGTGGCTAATGTGTGTATTTCTAAATCTGTGTTTTCCACTTTTAAATTATATGAGAGGCAATTTCTCTGTGGTGCAGAAAAACAGATTTTCCTATGCTAATATGGATCTTAAACAACTGTATCACATCCATCAGTGGCTTCTTTAGAATGATTAGTAAAATTATCAACTTAATAATTTTTTTTTAAATAGGAATAAAAACCGACTGTTTTGTCTTTTACCAAAGCCAAACCATCTTATTTCTTAATCATAAATAAACATATCATACACTGATAAAACATACAATAAATTACTTATTTTAAGATGTTAAATCATTCAAACCTGAAATGTCTAATGCAGAAATAATTTAACTCACCAGAATTATTCCCATCAATTGGTGTGCTCTGTGGAACAAATATAAAAAAAATTGCACAGTTACTTATCTTGTAAAAATCTTTTACAATAAAAAGTTAATGTCTTTACAATCAAGAACAAAAAAAGCTGTTCTGTTTTTTAAGGAATAATTCTCCAGTTTTGGGCTTCAACTAAATCTAGGAGTATCTTTCTATTAACATGTGAACACATATGTGTCTTACCAGTAAGAGATTTGTCCCTGACAGTAGGAGAAGGAAGAGAAAAGCTGCACTCATGATGATCTAAAAGTCAAATACCACATTATCTGTAATGAAGCAGTGTTTTGGGAAATGTCAACTGATGAACAATCATCAGAAAATGAAAGCAGGTCTAAAAAACGTTGAAAAGTAAAGACAAAGAAATAACTGACCAGATTAAAAGGAGATACCTTGTGCCTCGAGAGTCTAATGCAGAATGGGGTTAATTTCCTCTCCTCTCTTTTTATATCAGCTTACATAGGGCATGGCTGTTTTTTATAGGCTTGGGAAAAAAGGGTGTTGAATATTGAGAATACCAAAGTATACCTTCACCTACTGGCAAGTGACAGCAATAGCTCAAGGCAGCAAACTGAACCAGTTAAAATACAAAACAAGGAACTAAAATCCAAAGTGAAAAAATAAAGAATAATTCAGCTATCTGTTGCAGTTAAATCAATGGAGAATGGTGGTAATCACTAAGTCAATATGTTGTCTTTGCAAGACGGTAATAACAGCCTTTACATCTTAAGAGCTCAGTTTGGTTCTGCCATAGACAAACTGTTCTATCTCAAACTTAAATCTAATCTTAACGCGGCCCTGACAAGGACTGAGCGGGAGAAGATGGATGGAT